TCTTGATACACCTCGTCCATTGAAATTTCCAAAGAAGGATGAGCAACAAATGGTGATCAGACAAATTCGAGATGGCATATTCTCACCACGGATAATTTTCGATGAATAAGTACTGAACTAGTTAAAGAGGGGCATATCTTAGGTGTAATGATATTCAATATTTAAGTAGTAGAAACATCATGTATGCTCCAGTTATGCAAATAAATTCTCTTTTTACCGAAAATATGCAACTAAACACACGTGCAAAATGCGCACATGGAGAAACCACTAGTTGATTGCCCCGCAAAAATGAAAAGAAATGAGCAGTTGATTGTGTACAAAACGATTCACTAAGCCATCGAACTGGGAGCTGGACACGTGTCTGCAAAACCTTTATTTTCATGTCTCAGTTTCTTCAGGTGACTTAGGCCCAGTTTGGTTCATAAGTCCTAGTACTTTTTTTAGTCCTAACTTATAAGTCTCAAGTCCCTAAAAAGTCCCTATCTATTTGGTTCCTGGGACTTAACATGGACTAAAAGACCATATTACAACTATAAGTCCCTATAGGTCCCTCCTTGAGAGTCTTATTTCATAAGTCTCAAATGCCCACTTTAAGTCCCTATAAGTCCCTCCTGTTTGGTTTAGGTGGGACTTATAAGGACTTTTTTAAGTCCCTAAGGGCATCTCCAGCCGTTGGCCCCCCCAGGACGCATAAAAATTGCCCCTGGGGGCGAGCCGGCGATACAATCAGTACTGGGGGCGGTTTTGCGCCCAGTCGTCGCCCCCAACTCGCCCCCAGGCGTCGAAATTGGCCCACTTTGCAGCCCAAATTCGTCGAATAAACGGCCCATATGGGCGAGAATAGGCCCATATTCGGCATGGTTTCGCCGTGTCTCGGCGTTCAATTATCAACACAATTATTTCTTATCACATATTTCATCACAGAAAAATCAAATACTTCAACAAAATAGTACAACAACAAATAGTTCAATACAAATTATATAGTTCAACAAATAAAAACTCGTATTTCATCACACGGCGTCCCCCTTGAGCCTCCATAGGTGCTCAATCAGATCTTTCTGCAGTTGATGATGCACCTGTGGGTCTCGGATCTCCTGACGCATACTGAGATAGGCAGTCCAAGTTGCCGGTAGCTGATGATCAACTTCGGCTAGAGGACCCTGCCTGTAGTATGGTTCAGTGTCAAACACTGGGTCTTCTTGCTCGCTCTCGATGATCATGTTGTGCAAGATGACACAGCAAGTCATAATCTCCCACATTTGATCTTTGGACCAGGTCTGAGCGGGGTACCGAACAACAGCAAATCGAGATTGGAGCACACCAAATGCCCACTCGACATCCTTCCTGCAAGCCTCCTGAAGCTTCGCAAACCAGACGTTCTTGCCTCCTGCCACAGGGTTTGAGATCGTCTTCACAAATGTCGACCATCTCAGATAGATGCCGTCAGCTAGATAGTACCCCTTGTTGTATTGGTGCCTCAACGAGCTTGGCAAAAACAGGAGAGCACTGCAGCACGTTGATGTCATTGTGAGTTCTTGGCAATACCAAAGAAGGAGTGCCAAATCCAAAGGTCCTGTGTGGCTACCGCCTCAAGCACCACACTGCAACCGCCTTTGGCGCCTTTGTACATCCCCTGCCAACTAAATGGGCAATTCTTCCATTTCCAATGCATGCAGTCGATGCTTCCAAGCATCCCAGGAAATCCTCTTGCTGCATTCTGGGCTAGATCCGAGCAGTGTCTTCCGCATTGGGTGTTCTCAAGTATTGTGGCCCAAACACTGTCACCACTGCCCGACAGAACTTGTAGAAACACTCTATGCTGGTGGACTCGGCCATGCGCCCATAGTCATCGAGTGAATCACTGGGAGCTCCATATGCAAGCATCCTCATCGCGGCCGTGCACTTCTGGATGGAGGTGAATCCAAGAGCACCAGTGCAATCCATCTTGCACTTGAAGTAGTTGTCGAACTCCCGGATGGAATTCACAATCCTGAGGAAGAGCTTTCGGCTCATCCGATAACGGCGCCGAAATGTTCTCTCGCCATGAAGTGGAGCATCGGCGAAGTAGTCGGAGTAGAGCATGCAGTAGCCTTGGAGACGATGCCGGTTCTTTGCTTTCACCCGCCCCGGCGCCGAGCCACCTCGCCGCGGCTTTTCATTGCTCGCCAGCAGCTGGGCAAGGGCGGCGAGCACCATGAGATGCTCTTCTTCCTGGACGTCGGCAGCGGCTTCCTCCTCCAGCAGCGCGGCGAGCTCTTCCTCCTCATCCGAGTCCATCGCCGAGATAGGCAAAACGCCGAACACCTTGCGCTCGGTGGGTGTGTACCCGCCATTAAACCGCGCCTCCGCGGCCGGAAACGCCCAGCTGCTGTAGGAGGGGCTGCCGCGGCGAAGCGCTGCTATTTTCCGGCGGGGAATGGCTATCTAGCGGAGTAGGGCGGCGGCCGTCGCCAGGATATAGCTAGTGGTGGCCGAGGACGCGGGGGGTGCGAGGCGAGTCGGGGGAAGAAAACCTTGACTTTTCCCCTGTCGGTGTGGGCCAGACGTGCTTTTCCCTAGTGCCGGAGCCCCCAACTGCGTCCAAACTGAGAAATGCTACAGCGAGGCCAAGCAATAGATGGTTTTTTCAGTGCCTATTCTAATGTGCTCCATTGCCTGACAAGGCTCGCTCTATACACTGGACGCTTTGAGAAATTGGACATACACCATGTCCTATTTGAGTGCTGCAAGCAACTGAAGCATCTAGCCCTTTATCATTGTGATATTGGCGCTCACTCTCCGATTAAGATTGATGCACCCAATTCAAAACTCCTAGTTCTAGAACTCACCTATTGTCGTTTTGAAATAGTTGAGTTCGTCTGCCTTCCGAAACTGGAGAAGCTCACATGTAGCACTTGGGTATCTCGCGATGCTCCTTTGGCCTTTTATTTTGTCCCGTCTCTTGGGGAACTAGAACTCTCATGTGGTGGACGATGTGGCCAACGTGAATTGAAATTAAGTGAGCTTCTACATGGAACCACATGCATACATACTCTCACATTGGATTTCCATGGAGAAAATGTAAGCTGCAGTTTATTGCCATCAAGTATTCACATTCTTTCCGCATTTTGTATTCATTGTGTTGTCACAACTTTCAGAGTTACATCGTATGTGTGTTTATGCATATTAGAGAGCCAACATTTCTTTGATAGTCTCATCAATGTGCTTGTGAATTATTCAATCTTACTTATTTATTTATCGTTTGATCAGCTTTGGATGCAACCTGAGATGAAGCAACTCTGCACCGCATTTAATAAGCTAAGTAAGCTGTCTGTGCGCTGTATCTTTGTTGAGTTTGACATTTTATGGACGACAGCGTTTCTTGTGGCAGCCCCATCTATCGAAATATTACATATTGAGGTGACGCATCCCTCAGTATTTTCCTTGTTATGTTGCCTTTCTTTCGACCGCAATTTTCAGATCTTACTCATTTTTAGCTTATTTTCACTTATTTTTAGCTAAAGCTGTTTAAAACCGAAATCCTTCTAGATATATGTAACAAAGTTTTATCCAAATATAGGTGTGGGAACATGCATGCGATGTGGATGATGAGTTCAGACAACCGGACTTCCTTGAGAGAAGGACTCCTGAGTGGGAGATGCACTTTGACGGCTCCAAGAACTGGCATTTGAAGGAGCTAGAATTCACTGGCTTTAGATCACTAGAACAACAATTTATGTTTATAAGATCCTTGCTAGAGCGAGCTCCCAATTTGCAGACGATAATTCTAAAAGGGGATGAGCAATGCGAGTACTGTGATGCCCTTGATACACCACCTCGTCCTTCTAAATTTCCAAAGAAGGGTGAACAAGAAATGGTGGTTAGACGAATTCGAGATGACATATTCTCGCCATGAATAATTTTCGACGAGTAAGGACCTGTAATAAACTAGTCAGGGAAAGCATATCTCAGGCGAAACATATTCGATATCTAAGTAGTAAGAAACCCGAAACATTATTTGTTCCTCCAGGTGTGGCTGGTACCTTTTGCAAAGTTGCTATGCTAGCGAAGCCCCCAAGCTCCTCGTTGTGAAAAATGAATTTTCGTTTATTGGACAGATGCAACTAAACTGCTTCATGCGAAATGTAATGCACTAGACTAGACACAACATTATGTATGTGCCATATTTTGGGTGCTTTTATACGCTAGTTCTTGAATCCTGGATCTCAACTCTGCACCTTTAAGATGCATCTGATCAACACCATTTGCGAAGCTGAAGTCGGCCCACTGGTAGGTCAGTAGAGAATGGTTCGGTGAAAGAGGAGGTTCTGCACCACGAGATAACAAGAGGAGGTTCTGCAGGCCTTGTACTACTGACCACCAAACCATTTCGTTTCTCGTGGAGTCGGTTCGGCACCTTTAACATTTTGTTTCTCGTGAATGATTTTGTTTTGCTAAATAAAACAAAACAAAATGCAGAACCGACTCCACGAGAAACACTGCTACTACTCTGTTTCAGTAGCGCGACTTCCTCCATTTAATCTATCCTAGATTCATCGTTGTTTTCATAGAAAAAAAAAAGATTTCACTGCTCCTTAACGCAGCATCAAAGCAATGTATTCTGCAAAATAGTTCAGCCGTCCGACTCAAAAACAAAAAAAGAGTTTCAGCCGTCAAGTCAACAAAAGAGACTGGAACGACTGGATGAGACTTGCTTGCCCTGCAACTCTAGTATCTTGTGCCGCCCTACTCTGTAAATGGGCAAGGAAGGGGTGCATTCAGAGTTGAATGAAATTTCTCCAACATTGTTTCCATTTTTTAATAACCAATTGAGTACATTTCTTCCTAATCTGCGACCATCAGGCGGTCACCAAAATTCCATATTATGTGACATATATTTGTCAGGCACATCCACGTACAGCAGCAAGATTTCAATCATAGTACATACCGTAGCACGGCACTGCTACAAAAGAGTAAAAACCAGTAAATCTCACTGAACCGTGAACCCACTCTACTGACTACTATGCATTTCTAAGACCAGCGCTGTTGTCTTGCGTAGAAGCACCATCAAACTCATCCTCCTCCGACAGAGTAGTCAGCTCAGAGAAGACGTGGTGAGAATCCGCAGCTACAGGGGTGTGCTCATCGTCACAGAAGAATGGCCTCGAAGGCACGTGCAGGCCGTCAACGCCACCTTCGAGCATCTCTATGGCCTCGCTCATCGTCGGCCGATCGTGAGGCTTCATCTGGATGCAACATAGCCCAACGAGACAAAGCTTCCTCTCCAACTCGTGCATCTCATCTGCCGCAGATATCTCACCCACTTCTTGTTGCCTTGTTAGCCTGTCGTACACCCAGGACGGGTAGTACGCCTGGCTTGAGTTTGATGCATTCGGGTCAGCATTCCGGCGTCCTCCTGCCATTTCCAGTAGCAGCATTCCAAAGCTGTAAACATCAGATTTGCTGGATACCACACCAAAGCTCCGAGATACCATCTCAGGAGCTATGTACCCAATGGTTCCCCGCATGGCACTCGACGGCACAAAGCTGTCATCCCTTGGGTACAGTTTGGCCAGGCCGAAATCAGCAACTTTGGGAACCAAATTGGTATCGAGAAGAATGTTGTGCGGCTTGATGTCAAAGTGCAAGATTTGCATGTCGCACCCCTGATGCAGGTAGTTGATACGCCTCGCAATCCCCAAAGCAATCTCATTGAGCTTGTCCCAAGAGAAGCTCCTCTCCGACGAAAAGATGTATTTATCAAGAGAACCATTAGGCATATACTCATAGGTTAGGGCCCTTCTCATTTCCTCCGAGCAGAACCCCATGAGATGGACCACATTGACGTGGTGGATCCTGCCAATGGTGGAGACCTCACTTATAAAATCTTCTCCGTTGCAATTGGAGCTACCTGCTAGCATCTTAACAGCAACATGGATATCTCCTGGGAGAAGAACACCTTTGTAGACTGAGCCATAGCCCCCTTGGCCCAATTTATCTCTGAAATGCCTTGTTACTGCGGTGATGTCTGTGTAGCTGTACCTGATTGGGCCCACCATTTGTTGCATCCGCAAGAACTTCTCGACTGCATCAATTGTTATCCTTGTTCTCCAGTACTTGTAGGCAAGGAAAGTCAATACCACCAGTGGCGGCAGCATGAACCTGCATAGTACTGCATAGGCAAATTTATGCAGTCTTTAGTAATAAGCTTTGATGATCAACAAACTGCAAATTTCCCATTTTGGGATGATAGAACAAACAGATAAATAAAGGGACTAATAGTTAATCAATAATAAATGGCTGTGAAGTACCAGCAGTTATTGCAATCCACTGGGCAATCCACATGGGAATTGTTGCATATGCATATTTTCCAGGTATACTAGGAAACAAACGAGTTAGCAAAAGATCCAAAATCTTTTCCCACGTATAGCTTCTAGACTTCAGTCGACTGATTAATTCGCTGCAAGACCATGCCAAGGTTCAGAAAGGAAATTCATTAATTATGTAACAATTAGATGATGTAGACCAAGTGTGTGAGCGTGTGTTGGTGCGTGAGAGAAACAGAACAAGCAAGATTTCCAATACTCACCCAATACTGAGCAATGGCAAGGGTCCAAAGCTTGTAACAAGATCTTGCCGAAAACTAACTGCAAATCCGTTTCTCATGGATTCCATGACATCTCCATAATTTGCATAATATGGCGATCTCTCGCCTTCCAAAATAATCACACCCAGGTATCCACAGGAAGGCTTGAGGGCGAAAATGTCAGTGGGATCACCAATCAGCACATAAACAAAAGAGGAGCTCGTGCTGCGGCAAGCAACCGGTAAGTATGGACTATTGTTCCTGACCTCCTGCGAGCAATTCACAAAGGTAGCAAACATAACTGAGCGAGGAGCCAGTTCATACATGTACTCCGAGCCTTCTAACCTATAAAGGCCAAAGAGGTAAGGCTGCGGGTTCCGGCGAGGAATAGGGCAGCTGCTGCTCAAGTCCAACTTGGCATCGACAACCAAGAAGGAAGAATTGGCATAATTTATCTCAGTCACAAAGTATGTCCAGCTGTTGATCGTAATGGTAGCCCTGCTATCGGTGCAAGCCAGCTCGTAATATGTAACTCCACACTCGCCTGGATCACCTCTCCGGCGGAAAGGGTACTGGACGTCTTGCAGATGGCCGCAAGAAAAAGGAGGACAAGCAGGACGACGCCCCTGGATATCAGCTACAAGAACTGCAAGCACACAAAAGAATGTTATGGCCTTCAAGGTAGCAGAACCACGAGCCTCACCAGGAGTTGCCATGGTTCGCTCTTGTTCTGCCTTCTTTTCAAGTCCACTCTTGTAATGCTATGATTCTTTCGTCCTTATGAAAGAAAAAGAAACAAGTGTATAACAGGTGGCAATCACTTTCCAAAGAAATATCAAGCGAGCACAATTAGTATGCTCTTGCTCACCAAGACAAATGTTCTTTCTCCAAGCCACCAAGGGCAGGTAAACAGTTTCCGTAACACCCAGAAAAAAATAGTGCCGTCATCTCATAAGGTACTACTGCACTGGCATATGAATTAAACTTGACAATCTTTACACAAGATGCACATATTACAACAACTACAAAGCCTTTAGTCCCAAACAAGTTGGGGTAGGCTAACAAGGTGCACATATTATGCCACAACATTCTAATCCTATCAAGAAAATACACAATAAATTCTGCTACGAAGCACGGCCAATTCAAATTGTGCCGAACATTCATTTTGTCTTTTTTTGGGAATGATAGATTTATCTTTTGAAAATGTCCACATCTGTAGTGCGGCCACACGAACATTACAGCTTTCCAATATTCCCACATAGCAACTATTCCTCGCCCAGTTGGTTCTTTATTTCCACAATCCCTCTGGCTGATAAGATGGGACGGGAGTGGACTGGAGCAAATCTACAATCACACTCAGACAACTATAGCACACATTATGCCTCCTATCAAGAAAGTACACAACAAATGCTTCAAAGAATGGCCAATTCAAATTGTGCGGAACATGGATTTGTGTTTTTTTGGGGATGATAGATTTATCTTTTGAAAATGTCCACATCTGCCTGCAGTGCAGCCACATGAACATTACAGCTTAGAAATATTTCCACATAGCGACTTTTCCTCACCCAATTGCTTGTTTATTTCCAAACTTGCCCCTCGCTGGTGATTGGACTGCAGCAGGTCTACAATCACACTCAGACCACTATAACACGGCAGGAGGCTGCCTTCACAACCATAAAATTAACCTTGGGCACAAGGCTGCCAGCTCAACATGAGTAGCTCTGTTAATTTCAGCAAAAAAGTGCTGATCATTTACATATTCCACTTTGAGGAGAGCATTTTATTACACACAGTTGTATTGTCTTGCTATTGCCATGCCTTCACCTTCACCTTTCCATCTCCGCTTCAGTACAGACAGACGACTAATTTCTTTCTATAGCCATCGCCATGGCTTTTCTTCTCAGCCATGGCTACAACTTCAACAGTTTTGGGTGAGCAAGATTGATTTTTGTGATGTCATCTCATAAGGTGCTACTGCACTAGCATATGAATTAAACTTGACAATCTTTTGACAAGATACACATATTATGCCACAATTTTTTTAATCCTACCAGGAAATACACAACAAATTCTGCCTTGAAGAACGGCCAATTCAATGTGTGCCAAAAATGGATTTATAATTTTTTGCCATGATAGTTGTATCTTCTGAAAATGTGCACCCCCGCAGTGCAGTCACATGAGTATCACTGCTTGCAAATATTTCCACGTAGCAACTTTTGCTCGCCCAATTGCTACTGACAATCCGTCTGGCTGATAAGATAGGACGTGAGTGGACTGGAGCAAGTCTATAATCATACTCAGACAACTGTAACCTTCATCTTCACGTTCATGTCCATCTCTGTTACAGTAAACCAAGATGAGTAAGTCCAAATTGTATTCAATTTGAATATGGAATTTGGTGGTACCCTGGACGCATCTTTTTTCCACACCCAGATGCCCCCAAGGCCTTATGTCCCATCCGAAAACCATGCTATCCCTTAAAAAACATGGAGAAAAGCATCACCATGATTTTAGTCTACATGTTGGTTGGTATTGGACAGCACAAGCATGCACCTTATTTCTATCTGTCTACTCTAGAACCTGTTGTACCAATAATCAGTTGTGACCATGTCATAGTTGAAACATATGTGATTCATATTGAACTTATTCAGTAGTATGGTTGCTTGTCACTGTGCATGTATGCCATAGTTCTATCCTGACAGCTGAGATACAAAAAATCTGTCGATTACCTTATATTCTGTAGTTTCAGTGATATGGGAATCCCCCACATCCAATTTTTCTGCAGTGCAGTCATCCCCATGAAGAAGATGAAGGCATGGCCTCGTCACTCCGGAATCTACAAAACCAAAATTCTCCCGATATAAGAAAATGTTAAGGCTGCACATGCTTTGCCTCCAAGAATACACACCTTCCGTCCCTACAATTTTTGGATCTGTAAATAAATGACACTGAGTTTTCTAGTACTAGATCCGTACCAAACTAATACACTCTCATGGTTTGTAAACATGGGTTTTATTGCCACCTAGTATAATAGAGCAAATTATCAGAGACTTGCCTTAGTTGTGCCCGGGCTGGCATTTCACCGAACACCTGAAGGGCGCATCGCACAGGCACAGGAGCAGAGCGGATTGATTCCCCTCGACCTCGTGCGTCGGCCGGACCCAGGGTCCGCGCGGCCTACACCGGCGGTGCCGAGTGTCGACCGGGAGGAGCGCTTGGTGCCGGAGATAATGCCGGCAACAACTACTTGAGACGGCAGCGAACGAGAGAGCTCTCTGTGTGTCGGCTCTGTTGCTGCGAGAGAGGGACGGAGTTAGGCGTACTTCAGGAATGCGCCTCCACTACTATAAGGCCTCGTCTCCCGCTGCAATAGGTGTGCAATACGTTACTACCCTTGAGATCCAGGCCTCCTAGGTCCTAGCTAGGATACTCAACAGAGCCACACTCTATCATGTATGGACTTTTTCTTGAGGAAGGAAAGTTTTGTCCATTTTAGACTATATGGACTTTTTGTTTGCGAAATATTAGGAGCTCATATCGGAATCTCTAAAAAAACTTATATTTAGAAACGGATGGATGGAGTAGTTTATTTCTGCCAAGTGTTCACGTTATTTTTTCCTTTTAGTATTATTCACTATATTGTCATAACTTTCAGACATACATTGTATATGCGTTTATGCATGATAAAGAATACCCATATACGTATTTATTAGATAATCTCATTAATGCGATTGCGAACTACACATTCTTTTTTTTTCTGAATTTATTTATCCTGTGATCAGCTTTGCATACAACCTGAAAGTTAGCAACTCCTCCCGCGTTCTGTAAGCTAAGGAAGCTCAAAGTGCGTGGTATCTTTCTTGAATTCGACCTTTTATGGATGACAACGTTTCTTCTGGGGGCACCATGCACCGAAATATTGCATATTGAGGTGATGTCTTTCTCAGTATTTTTCTCCTTACTTATATTGCCTTTCTTTCCTTTTCAACATTTAGAGCTCAATGTAGGTTTGGGAACATATATGTGATGTGGATGACAAATCCAGACAACTGTACCCCAAAAGAAGGACCCCTCAATGGAAAATTCACTTTGACGACCCTAAGAACAGCTTTTTGAAAGAGCTAGAATTTACTGGACCTAGGTCACTAAAACAACAATTTACATTTATAAGATCCATGCTGGAGCGAGCTCTGAATTTGCAAACGATAATTCTGAAAGGAGATGAGCGATGCGAGTGCTGGCATGCTCTTGATACACCTCGACCTTTGAAATTTCCGAAGAAGGATGAGCAAGAAATGGTGGTTCAACAAATTCGAGATGGCATATTCTCAAAACAGGCTTTCGCCCCACTTTATAAAGAAAGCAACAACCAAACAAAGTAAATGGTTTAAAGATACAAGATGGTGAGGTAGTCCTCTTACAAAGTTGATCCCAGGATAAACAGAAGACGGACAGCTAGGGACTACGAGACCGAAAGATAATACATGAAGATATGAGAACCCCGCACACAACACCCTAGAACACCTAAGCTGCACGACAACGCCCTCAAGAGAGGGAAAGGCGTCAGGCGTCGCCGCCGTCAAGTCCAATGGACAAGGGTTTTCACCCGAAACCCAGACACGGAGCAGAGTACCATGACAACGTCTTCAAGAAAATAACGACGCCCACAAGCGTCGCCATCATCGACGGCCAAGCGCAGAGCTTTCACTCGGTAGCTCCCCATGCCACCATGAGGTCTTAAAGAGCGGCGTGGCGAGTCTAGATCCCCAACTCCAGTTTGGAGCGCTTCCACTACCGAAGACAAATGGTCCACCTGAGCCATCCGCCGGTACACCTCTTATTGCCCACATGACCAAGAAGTATAGCCACAACCACTGCCATGGTGCCCGCCGAAAGGCCAAGCAAGCGGACCACCTTCCAGGGCCGCCGCTCCAGCTTCCAAGCCATGAGACCCCGCCCACCGTCCGCTTCACAGTGCACTAACTGCGGCAAGAGAAGCCCGGCATCACCCACCGAGCCAGGGTCAGTGCCACCATCGTCAGGGCGCCCACACCTGCATTCCCTCCAATCCTGATGGACCGGAGGGACGTGACCCAATGGCTGCCAACAACCATCATTGAGCAACCAACTCAGACGACGCCAAGTCCGTGGCAAGAGGCACCGATCCAACCATCGACACACGGAAGCCCCGACCACCACTACCATGGACCTCCGCCGATGTTATAACGTGAGGACACCTCTCTACGGACTACAAGAACCCACCTTGGCATAGCCAGAGGCTCGTCCATGGCGCCAGTGCACTGCCAGCACACACCATAGTGAAGGCGGTCACCGGCCCAACCTATGGGGGCTGCACATGGCGGGTGGCAACTCCGGCCACCTAGCAGCCATTCCGGCAACCCCACCCCACTGCGGCTCTGCGCATAAGGTCTAGTCACCGCCGCCCACACCCAGGCCACCACCAGCCAACCACAGCCCCGGCCGCGTCCACGCTCGCGGCGAGACTCCGTAGCACTGTTGGAGTTGTGTCGAATATAGTGTACAAGTTAGGTTACAGTTGGACTCTGAGTTGTATTGTGTTTAGATAGGATATGAAATCGTGTCCTACTATAGGACACTTGTATCCTAGGCCTCTCATATATAGCGGCGCTAGACACACGATGTAATCTATGCCAACATAATAGCAGCGGTGTCCAGGGTGACCGGGTGCAGAATT